ATCAATTTGGTTATCGGACTTTGATTTATTTAATCAATTGTGGCTATAGTCTTTTTCACTTGGTTTTAGTGTACGTAATGGGGCCTTTGTTTGACTTTTAACACATAATCGATATCCATAACTGAGTGCAGGTTTGCAAATGACAGTAATTTGACGTTGCGAACGGATTTATTGGCAGTCTGATAATAATTATTGATGCGAGGGAATCCATTTATCCCCAACGCGATTATTATAAAAAATTCCAATGACATTTATTCGCCGCAATAAAACAATTTTGAGCTCCTGGTCGAACTTTACACGCAATAGACAAGCAATCTACTTTTTAACAAAAATATAATGCGTTCAAATCTTTAAATAACTTTGTTGGTATATTAGCTAACACATACATGTTATGTGCCTTAGAATTAAGATCATATTCAGCTGAAAAATCGTTATTGGTCCGTATAGTTAAATAATTACATTAAATATATCTTAAATTTTAAAGGTAAATGGCATTCCGATGAAACATAGTTGCTTCTAAATAGCCCTAGTTTTTCAAAATCTAAATGAAGTTATATTATTGTGATTAATACATGCATATTTGGATCTTCACTCGATTTAATAATTTCTTACGACATTCATTAATTGCTATAATTCACTGACATTTGTATCTGTCAATATTTTACTAATAATTGTATTCATGAATATTTTACTAATAATCATATTCGTGAAAATCTTACTCATGTTCGTAAGCGTGAATTTGAACCAATTCGTGCTTAAGCGATCTAGACTCACGTTTTGGCACAGACATAAAAGGGTTTATGTCTGAAGCCCCCCCCCCAAAAAAAAAGATTTTCCAATTTATTTTCATAGCCCAGCCTGAAGATCCAAATCACATGCATTGGGTTCATAATGGATGGTTAATCAACAACAGCTTTCAACGAACATGGCCGGTTAACCAATTTTAAAAGTGCTGGGTTCACTTTACATGCAAAGTTTATTATGCACGCACTATCATGTGTTTACTCATCAAACATGCACTATTGTATTCAGGAGTGCAAATCCATTGTCTATCGTAATTCATGAAGCAATAGCACTATGATCCCACGTAATGATAGTTGTTATGAACTGCACTTTATCACAGGTGACCGCGCCAGCAGCCAAAGCCAGTAGCGAGCCTCTGGTGCTGCGTGTTCATGTAGCGTAGTGCATGGCAACGATTACGGTCGTTGTATTGACAAGCACGTAGCCCGTGGAGCCACTATATTGCACCAACTCCATCCTGAACCTGCCGATAAACGACCGTGTTCTGCAGGCAACACGTATCTTTAATACGAATGTAAAGCCTTTTTCCCCTGCCTCGCACAAATTAAATCGTAAACCTGGCGATATACGACCGTGTTCTGCAGGCAACATGTATCTCTGATACAAAAGTAAAGCTTTTTTGTCCGGCCTTGCACCAACTAAATCGTAAACCTGGCGATATACGGCCGTATTCTGCAGGCTACACGTATCTTTGATATTTTTCCCTGCCTCGCACTAACTAAATCGTAAACTTGTTGACATACGACCGTGTTCTGCAGGCAACACGTATCTTTGATACGAAAGTAAAGATTTTTTCTCTTGTCTCGCACCAACTAAATCGTAAACTTGTCGATATACTACCGTGTTCTGCAGGCAACATGTATCTTTGATACGGGAGTGAAGATTCGTAATGCGTATAGGAGTTTTTTTGCGAGACGTGTGATTCGCCGTTGAAATTATTTGCATGGGATTATCTGCTATTTGTCCTCAGTCTGACGTAAATATGCAAATAAGAAAATGAATAAATTAATATGTAGTGGCTTTAATGTTGCAACTGTTGGAATGAGAGAAGTTGAATATAGATATTTCAATAATACAGAATTTTATGCAGCTGCATAGAGCTATTATTTAAATTCATCTGTCATAAAATCAGTTAAATATAACTCATCTGATACAATATAATTGTATCGGAAAAGCTTAAAGAACTTTTGCCATACCATCTTACAGAACAAAAGTCGACATAAGTAAAGGTTATTATCAGTTATCGTTCACCAGATAAGAGCTGATAGCAGCAATGTGGCCAAAACACGTTCACTCAGCGGCTTTACTGCATGGAGCTACAGGAGATAACACGATACTTTTATTGATCGCATCACTAAAAAATTTTTATTCACGCGCCTTAAATGAAAATCAAGAAAAATTTTAACAAGATTCCATTAATTCCTAGAACAAGTTCAGAACAGAGTCGAAACGTGCTTTTGTAAGCTATTTTTTTAATTAATTTGAAAATGTTTTCAAGCTTCTACACCAGAAGACAACATAATTTCTTTAAGGCCACGGTTGACGCAGCAGCAAGGCAATTTTTTTTATCATTGTGAAATGTTCATGTGATGCCGTAGCAACTTGCTGTTGTGAATTAAGCGTATAGTGGCAATGCAAGGGCAGGATAACTACGAATATTTTAAGTAACGCGACTAAATGCTGATACAATTGTTAGATATTAGCAAGCTTCGCGATCGGCTAGCGCGCGCCTTCTTTATATTACGTGCGATGCAATTGCAGGAATAAGCGTTGAAAAAATACGTTGAATAACAAATTATTTAAATTATTCATAGCTATTTCTGCAGCAGCGTGTCATTATACGCTCCAAATTGTTTGCTGGCCAGAGGGCATAGATTTTTTTAATGATTTGCGTATATATTTTATGAAGGCCTGGACGAAATTTTGCATGTAGTGCATTACTCAAACTGGTTAATTAGATGTCTGGTTAATTCGATGAAAGACTTTGTAGTGAGTTATTGCTATAAAAATTATTTCTTTCATTGTTATACCAAATTATTTTCTTCTAAATGGCCGATTTCGACGTTATTTTCGCTTCTCCACATCATGTGTTGGGGTTAAAAGTTTCGAGAGGCTTTCGCGACCACTACAACAGGCTTGAAGAATATGATATATTGCAGAACACAGTGAATCTATTAAGAAATGACACGATCAACAAATTAATACATCATCGCACAGCGCAAATTCACCGTGTGCAAATTCACAAAGAACGTGAATTCACGCGCAAATTCAGCGCGTGAGTTCACAAAGAAATTTATTTTACTTGTTTTTATCGCATCAATTGTTATTGGCGCAAAGGCAATGAAAGAAAGTGTAAGCAAATGCTAATTGCCTAAAATACTGATTATGGAGGTCAATACGGTTATGGAGGTCAACAGTGTCGAGACAAAAAATGTTCACTCTGAAATACGTTATTATTTATTAGAAATGTCGGGGATGCCAGTTTTTACTAATCGTAGTAGAAATGTTTAGTATACTACGTTTAACTAGTTACTGATTTCCCTTTATCGATCGTTAATGAACTACTCCAACTGCAGATATAAAGGCTTTTGGTGCTTGAGACATGTACATTATTGCTCATTCATTGTACAATGTAATAGTTACAATATAATTATTTCATCAGGAGCAATGTTATTTCCTGCCTAAATCCGGCCATACTGATAGTAAACAATGAAGATTGTTTACTAATTGCCAGGATTGTAAGCAGTAGATGTAAAGTTATTTATAATCCACCATATTACACCATAATAATAATCACAACCATATTGGTTTTCGGTATATGAATGACAGATTGAATCATTTAGACGATTATATCAATACTGTACCTTTCTTAACTAATGCTTTTCCGTACGACGACGTCGCTACGTAACTACGCAATCAATCCCAATCATTGAAAGAAATGCAATACTGTTACAATCGCCATAGTATACTGTAAGGATTTAGTCATTTATACTACAAAATAGCGGTTATCCCGTCATTACGGATATAAGTTTATTGCGGACCGGAACTTACTAGGGACGAGTTATTTTAGATATTAGGGTTGTTGACTTTACGATCTCATCCTCGGCAGAAGTCTCCTTCTGATCCATATATCATTTGTACATACTGATTGCACCTGCTGTAATAAAGATAATGTGGGAACTCGTGATCTATCTCCTGTGATGTGTCAAAGCTGATGTAGAGAACCCAAGAGTATTACTACATATACAGTATTATACTATTATTTCAATATAAACACAATAATGAACACGATACCGAGTAATTTATTGCTGTGTTTAGCCCCCAACAACGTCACCTGCCTCTGCTGAAAGCATAAGTCGAACCATGACTTAAATTCTGTAAAATTTGCCGTTGAATCAAGTGATATGGATTGAAATTAGTACGTGAATTCAACCTAATCTCATGAAATAAATAAGTGTCGATGATAGATTTCAGATATATTTTTATTAATTCTAAAATTATGCGTTACCTGACATTTGAGAATTTAAACACGTTAGTTAACCGATAGAATAGATTCAGCTTCAAAGTTATAAATCAGCAAGTTTAATTGTAAGCAATAAACTTTTATTTTTTGGTTTCTGTCCTTGTAATCATAATTCCGTTTTGTAAATTGCAACCAAAATTCCGTTTTGCTCGCATTCGCTTGACTACGGAAAACACCGACACGCGTGCGACGGTAGGGGAGCGCAGCCGTGCACCACCAATTTTGTGCACCAATAAGCCTTGAATCGAACGCCTTGGATCTCTCCGGATATCCACCAATCAGCCGTGCACCACTCGGCTTTGTCCTCTTCCGGCCTTGACCACCACCTGCCGTGCACCACCAGGTCGCGGATCGAATTCTGACTTCCTGGTATCGTTAAATTACGTAATTTTACGTTCACCGCATCTGAGGTTAGGTTTCAGATAGCATAGTTCTGTTCCAAAATTTATCGTCCTTCGACAAGTAGCCGTTCGACCGAGGGCTGGTTCGACCCACGGCCTAGATACGGACGGCTTGAAGTGTTGAAGGCTACGTTCCGGAAGGCAGGAATCATGATGGTCCATTACATCCAGGGCAGTTGTGGTCTTCGGCAGGCGACCCCGACGGTAGTGCTTTTGAGAGGCGTTTCCATTCACAGTATCTTTTTCATTTAGTGGAGAAAGAATTACAGGTTTATCAGAAATATTTAATAATCAGTGGATGATTATTTTCAAAATAAAGCGCTGTGGCTTGCAAAATTACTGCAAGCCTCATTTGTGAACGGAGGGACTCTGTGCCCTTGCTGAAGATGAACAGTTTTCATTGCCAGATAACGAGTTTAGTACATGGACGAATTTCGATTCATTGACAACAATCGATCCTGCCCGCTCTGGGAAACGAAAATTTTCAGTTCATCGATGTTGAATTACGTCAGGAATAGGACATCATTTGATGATGTAAAGATACTTAAAGATTCGTATACCTCACAAAACAATCCCGTTATATCCTCTCCGTCTCTTTTATTTTGCTACCTAAATAAGTGGTATGTGAGTGTTCCCTTTAATATAGGAAACCCTTATTCAACTGGCCGAGGGATAGAATAGAATAGAATAGAATTTTCAGGGAGGAATAGGCACACCAATACCATTATATTATATAAACATATTTAACCCCGGAAAATGATTAGTGACCCTTACGAGAATATGTTTTAGTCTTAATTGGTTGTCCCGGGGTAGAAACTTTGCTCATTGTAAATTACTACCGCTTTGGCTTCCGCCGGCATCACCACGTCGGCTTTTTAATAAGGCTTGGATTTTCAACGAGAGTGGTGCGTGGCTGTGGCAGAGACTCTGGACCATTAAAGTTCTATTATTCGGATTGCCCGAGCGGGCAATAGACCGACTCACCTACCTCTGCAGGGAAATATTCACATAAAGCTGTCGAGGCAAACAATTTCTATTTCTATGCTAACTGAAAGCTATGCATTGGATTGCGACCCGCAGAGAAAAATGTTGTTTCTGTCTAACGAACAAACTCGCTTGAATGCTATGGCAGCTTTACCAATGACCGACCATGGTCTTTCTAAGAACCAAGCATATACTTTGTAGCTTATTCTATTTTTATAATGTATCCGTTATACTTGGAAATAATTATGTGGTTATGCTACTGTTAGCGAGCCGTGTTGCGAGTAAAGAAGAAAATATTAATCGAATTTCTATTATTCGTTATTTTTTATGATATTAGCTAATACATTGGCCGTTCGAAATAGTGAACGCCTTCAGCTTAATTACAGCTTTGAGAGTGATATAATTTTCTCGCATTCAAATCTATTACACGTTAAGATAATTGTTTCATAGAAAAGAAGTGGGGCTATTCCTGCTTACAATATATGTACAGCGTACTGGATAAAGGCGTCGAAGGCCATGCAGCGTTATGGCCTTGGTCAAATGCAAAGAATTATTAATAATCAATTATAATGTAATTTTTCATGCAAATAGATTAATTGATTGCAAAACGTGGATGGTCAATGATCGAAGTTGCTTAAAAATAAACCTGGAATAAGTATATTATAAGACTTCTAAAATTTCGTGCGTTTGAAAGTTGCTTCGATATTTCAGCACAATAATACTTTTGACTGACTTGGGAAATCGCTGGTTTCACAACCTAAGGAAGTTAGCATAAGTCCTAAGTTCTATGGAGATATTTGCGAGGATGAAATTTTTGTTAGAATGATAAAGTGATACGTCAAGACAATTATCTGAGCTGGCTCATAAAAAGATATGCGAAGCCGGTGGACAATCTACAAATTTGAACCATAGCAAGGGAGATCGTGGTCAAATTATCATTGCTGAAATTAATATTTCTATAGCTGAGCTCATCATTAATAAAGATAATGATGCACGAATATATCAAGAATGTGGGTAAATAGATCGCAAAATTGCATGAGCTTCGTGAGTATATACAGACTTGAGCATGGAAATTGCGTACAAAATTCTAGTGAAAGTTAAAGGCCAAGAAGAAGTTGAAGGGTAATCGATAGTGAAAAGAATTGTCTGCAAACACCCTGATTATCACCTAACGAGGACCATATTAGGGCTATTGGGACATCTCTCTCTCTCCGCCACGTGAGTGTTAGTTAGAGAGAGATGCTCAAAACCCAGTCATGTCTCATAGATCACTCGCGTCAGATGGCATGGGATCTTTCTTAAGAGTCTTGAGCACGAGGTGACCGTCGTCGTCAGGGTTCACCAGCTTCGAGCAAAGGTACAAGAAGCCGCACGAGAGGATGAAGAGGAAGGCAGGGACGCAAGTGGCCAGCAGAAGATACATTTTGGTTTCTTCAGGGTTGAAGACCGCCATCACGAAGTCGTTGTGAGATTTGGTGTAGAAACAAGGGAACCGGTCTCTGGTTCTCCCATCTCGTTCATCGTGTCTGTGGTTCTTGAAAAAGTGCGTGCATTTCTTGCTCAAGGTGTTCGTACATGCCTCAGAGTTGATGCGGAGTTTCGTGTCGTTGACGACCTGCAGAGCCTCTTCGGGATCGATGAGCCACCCGCGGGTCTCGCCCGTCGCGATATGGTACTTGATCAGGTCTCGGAAGTCACGCATGTCCCTGATTCTTCTCATTTCCCCAAGCGTTGCATTGAAGCAGTCGTCCATGAGGTATCCATTCTCGGTAGGAGTGATGTATGTGCAGAAAAGCATCAACACTTCTGAAGCCGATTGCCAGCTAGGGTTTTTGCCAAGATTTTGGATCACGTCTGTGCCGTTTGAGGCTGTGACTTTCTTACACTTCCTAGTTATTATTCTCTCCTTGCTGAATATCATGGAGTTGATGTTGTCGATCTCAAGATTGGAGCACTTTCTTTCGCAGTAATCGTAATGTGGAACATCATAGAGCCTGAGACATTCGCCTGCCGTGCAAGACACGACTCCGATTAGTCGTGTCTGACACTTCTCTTCGTTGCAGACTATGGGAAGACGACTGATGTTCCGCGCACGGCATTCGTAAGCCGGAGACATCAATCTGCACTCGTTAGGGTCTGGCTTGGAGCAATTGTATACGCCGTCTAGATCCTGACACTCACCTGTTCTGCATCTAAAAGGCACTGCGGCTGATACATTCAAAGCTGAACAAGCCTTATCCATTTGTTCAGGTTCACATTCTTCTAAGGTGACGTTCGAACCTCTCAATCGCGGCCGTACGTAGATTTGTAGGCACACAGCCGGGTCTTTGGAAAGGCACCACTCTCTACACGATGCCCAATCACATTTCTTTGGCGTACCATCTGGGTTGGTCTTGAGATTATTGTTCTCAGTTTGAACTGTGGAACACATTATAGGTGCTATACTTATTCCCATGAGCAGCTCATCTTTTGAAGGAATTATCACAATGACTGCAAGGTACAGCATTGCTACTCCTGAGAGTATTGCAGTCATTTGACAAATCATGATCACGCCGCACAACTTCTTTTCCATCGTCATGTCGGCGGTTGGGTCGATGAAGTGGACTCTTATAAGGAACTAGTGCCCGTTATTGACACTCTTGCGCCAGTCGGCACTGCAGCACTGCAGCCCAAATATGCTTTATTTCTCGAGTCCCTGCACTTTGTTTGAGTCTGTTTGGTCACGGCCTTATTTGCAAATCCTGTTTTGAATGATGCTCGGTAAATGTTACATTATTTCATGTAAAACTTACTGACTGAATTAATTTTTATAAATAATACCATTGGTTACACACATATATTTGCTACGATTGTTTTTTTCTGTGTTTAATTAAAGAATAACTAAATGCACGATAAATAATCGACTCTTTGGGATTACGTGAACAATTTCTGTTCATCGGTCTGCAGTGTCAATTGAATTCCATAAATAGTTCACAACTGAAAGAGAAAACAAAAAGTATTTTAACAAAATGTCTCGATAAAATTCTGTTACAACCGTCAAATGCAACAATTGATGTTTTTTCTGCTAATGATCACATCGGTTTACAGTGTCAATTGAATTCTGTAAATAGTTCACACCTGAAAGAGAAAACAAAAAGTATTTGAAAAAATGTTTAAATAAAAATCTATTACAACCGTCAAATGCAACAATTGATGTTTTTTCTGCTAATGATCACAGGTGATTTTATTTACGAAAATTTCTTCACTAATTTCACGAAGTTCATGGTCCTAAGTCATCAAAACTACTTGGCAATCCGTTATTTATGCCTTTGATTGTGAGGTATAATTAAATCAGGGACAACTATTATAATCTTGCAATGATTTGCAATGAAAATGGTAATATAATATTTTATTGGTACCATATATATGTAACAGCACTTATTTTAATCACAACTAACTATTGTTGTTTAGTCAAAATAATTGTCGGGAATATAACTGGCTCCTAAAAAAAAGGAAATTATTTAGAATACCTTCTGCAAATTAATAGCGTTTCTCACGCAGCAAAAAAAGCATTTCACTTTCAAATTTCCCATTCTTAATTAAATTTTTTATGTGCGAATACCTTCTGCAAATTAATAGTGTAATTAACACGCAGCAAAAAAGCATTTCACTTGCAAATTTCCCATTAATTATCTAATTCCATATGTGCGTCTTGGTATCAATATTACGAAGCACGTGGTCATGCCACGCTGCCATTGTTAAAAAATACACATCCACATTCCGTTAATCGAGGTTAGCAGTTCATCGGTCATAACACTGGCACTACTCAATATAATTGCTATAGGAACAACATTAATATCACCTTTTATTATTCTCGAATATCAAGGCATATCAAGATTTTCTTTCAATTGAATGTCATACTTCAATATTTTCACGAAATTTCGTCCTGAAAAACAAGGTTAAGGAAGAGCTGCAGTGAAAGTGTATATATAGTGAGAATTGTACGAGTATAATGAAATCGTGAACGAATCAATTAAAAGAACAGATAGGAGAACACCAGTATGAGAAACAGGAGAAAGAAAGGCAAAAGAATTACTGTTATAAAGAAACTAAATTAAAAATTAACTGCTATAAAGGATATAGGCAGAAGCAAAAGTAACAGTTTTCCAAAGAAATGACGTTGAAACAACGTTTATTACGACTGATTTCGTTGAAACAACGTTGAGAACGAGTTGATTTCATTAGAACAGCCTTGATTCCGAATAGATCTCTTTAGAACAGCGTTGAATATTGGTTAATTTCGTTGAAACAACGCGATTTCAACGTCAAATGTCTTGTAGAGCGGGAGAGGAGCAAGAGCACCAGAGAGCTGGACCGCGTCGCACTGCAGCGCGGACTGGACTCGAGCCTGGAATGGTGCAGTGGCTGGGACAATTGCAGGGCTCAGGGTGTGGTGCGACTGGGTTGCCTAGCGCTATAGCCACAACAAATCGGCTTCGTTAACACCCGCTCGATCTCTAACATTCTCCTCTATCTTAACACTTATAAGGTTCGTTAACACCCGCTAGATTTCTAATGTTCTCTCTCTGCTTCTATCTTAACACTTATAAATACTTAAACCCTTGTGCACACCTAGCGCTATAGCCACAACAAATCGGCTTCGTTAACACCCGCTCGATCTCTAACATTCTCCTCTATCTTAACACTTATAAGGCTTCGTTAACACCTGCTCGATCTCTAACATTCTCCTCTATCTTAACACTTATAAGGCTTCGTTAACCCTGTCTCTTATACACATCTAGATGTGTATAAGAGACAGACACTACACTGGCAGACACTGCAGACTACACTGCAGACACTGACGACTACACTGCAGACTACACTGCAGTCTACACCGCAGACACTGAAGACTACACTGCAGACACTGAGACTCTGAAGAGTACACTGCAGACACTGAGACTCTGAAGACTACACTGCAGACACTGAGACTCTGAAGACTACACTGCAGACACTGTACAACAACACTGCATGTTCTGATTCGTCTTGTTTTAAACTGAATGTTAATTATCATCATAAAATTAAGTGTGCTCAATGATCGAGCGTCTCACGACATGATTTTGTGTGTTGCTTGTCTGTAAATAATCCAGTTTAGTTTAAGCAGTCAACCCGTGATGCCAACACTCGGAAATATGAGTAAATCTTTGTTCCAATAGCAATGCACTTTTTGCTCATTTATGGGCCACCTTGAACTAAAAAAGTGTGTCACTATTTGGACAATATGACCTATTCATTTTTTTGAGTGAAGACTTGGATACAGGCCAGGATTTCCCTCCGCGTGGTCCACAGATAATTGAATTTTACGGTAAAGTTTGTGCTGCTTGGCTTTTGTTTGTCTTTTTTTAACTGAATTATGATAATTTCCTCCATTTAAAGCCGGGTTAATCTCAGGATGGTTCATATTATGTTTATGTATTGCGGTATAATCGCATCAGTTGTCGGCCGTAGTACCTGCATTCATAAATATTTCTATTGGTCTCCTGCTGTTACCATTTCGTATTTAAAAATTATTTACATATTTCCACAGTTTGATTTTTTCAGTTTTTTTTAGAAATAGACAGTTTTTGTCAGAAAAATTGGAATTTTTTGCATGCGTTTCTTCCGTCGGTAAGTCGTCATGGAGAGGAAGTTCAATCAGAGCAGAACTTCTGCACAAAGCAAAATCGCTCTTTTCCTTTTTTTCTTATTACTTATAAAAATTTTTAATAGTTCGTCAAATTACGATTTCGTGCACTTTTTTTATAAGTGCACCACGGAGTCACAACTGAATTTCCAGGAGGAAATTTGGCATGGTCGTAAGTAGGGAGCACTTATTTCATAAGTGCATTTTTTTACTGGCTATTGATTGATTCTATTTAAATTCACGCATAATTCCCTTTCATCATTGAAAACATGTTTTTTATCATCTTTTTATGTTTTTTTTCCAAGAATAGAAAACTTTTGCGAAACCAGCCGGGATCGAAACGAAGAATAAAAAACCAACCCAAGACCAGCCGGGATCGATTTTCCAACCATAAATCATCGTTCATCTCTCAAAAAGCATTCAATACACCTGAATATGTATGATAACTTTAACCGCAATAAAGAAGCACTGAACACAAAATTATAAAACTAAACAAATCCCATCTAATCTCAAGAATACGTCCACAACATTGCGCATTCTCTTCTATGCCCAGCACCATATCGAACCCGGTGGAAGTCTAGTAGCTACTTGAAACTATCGTCAGTCATGAAAAGATCCGGTCAAATGACACGATATTAGATCTTCTGTGAACAAGGCACGAAAAGGAAAAAAATCGGCGACAGGCCACATCAGGCCTACACTGCAGCGCCGACATCACTATGTTATGTTATGTTAGGTTATGTTATGTTATGTTATGTTATGAGTCACGCGAGATGAGAAGCGAGGCCGCGAGCAGTTTAGATTGCACTTATCGGAGGTTTTCGATAGCGCAGCTATGGTTTCTTAGCGTAACCATGTGGTTTATGTCTGCAGTGTAAGCCGTGTAAACAAAATTTAAAATTTCATCGTAATTCATATCGATTGCACCTTAATTTATTTCACTAATCAAACGTCAAGTGTGCCGTTAATATATACTCGTATTTAGGCATGCATGGTGGTTGGCACTTAAAGCCTGATCAATTCAGTTGGGTTTTTGGAGGTTGCATAGAAGCAGAGGGAGGGATTGTTAGCCGTTAATGCTTATGGTGATCTTATGTATCATTTTTGCATAATTTTCAATGAAATTAATTTTCATCAAAGTTTGTTTAATACGAGTTGAAGATTTTTTTCCATCCGTGGAGATAAAGGCATTATAATTCATATGCTTGTCTAGTTCGTCAAACTTAACTCGAAAACAAACATTTGTATTTCTGCACTCGGATTGAAGGCACCGCATTCACACGAATAATTCGACTCCGAGCATTCGTATATCAGTGCTCGCATTGTATTTTACGCATTCACACGAAAAACTGCATTTGTATTTCTTGCATTCACGGATTGTATTTTCTGCATCTTATACATTTTTTCAGTGAGTGTAATTTCAACTGTTCACCTGTTTTCCTGTGTTCACTGTGGCCCCAGCGCAGTTCTGGCCTCCAGAACTCGTTGAACTTCGCCCACACTCGCCTGTTTCATGGACCTCAGGACGGTTCCCCGGCACCCATCTCATTCTTTTCTGACTTTTCGGGACTATTTTACTGTTATTCCGCTATTTTCTCCGCTCTAAATCCGCTCGATTCTAACTTATTTACCAGCCCCGATTGATGATTGCTTTTTCAATGCCCCGACACTGATATGAGCTACAAAAGGTTTTTTAGGCATTTATTATGGCATATTATATGGTTTATATTATAGCATATATTATGACATATATTATGGCATACATTATGACATATATTATGGCATTTATTATGCCCTATATTATGTTGCTCTTAATCGTTAATCACCTTGTCTTTTTTCTGAAAGCTTAAACTTTTTTCTGCATCGGTTGAGAGAAACTCTTTTACAATAATGTCTCATATAACCGATATTTCTGTGTTATAATAATAACAAATATTATGTTATCTACGGCCTTTCAATTAGAAATTTGAAGGAGAAGCTGCCAGGCAGTTTTTGTGACAATACTTGAAATTTTTTAATTTTTGATGACAATTTGATACTTGAAATTTATTATTATTCAAAAAATTAATTACAGAGTTCTTCTGCCATTGAATCGCTTTCGAGAATATTAAAAACTGTTAATTCTTTAAAACCGTGAAATTTAAATTCTCTATTCTGGGATTTTATTTATATTGTATGTCTACAGTATATTATATTTTTATCCATGTTCATGCCATGAAGCACGAGTTAAAATTTTCCTAACTCTGAGCGTAGTTTATTCAACGGTGGCCGTAAAATGGTCTTAGTATTAGTATAGTATATATATATAATATATAGTATATAATAGTACGTATTCTACACGTGACTAGTCGAATTCTATTAAACAAGTATTAAGTTAACATAAACACTAT